ACCAATAAAGCTTACAAGTGATGCCCGATTTGTTGTACTACAGCTCTGTCCTGAATTACTACAATCATTCTAGGTTTCCTATACTTGAATTACTAGTAACACGATAGCTATAAGGCCCGATAAGGTAATCGAATCACCGAGACTCTTTTTCTAGAAAATTTTATAATCGATATAATGGTGAAAGCTCAACCCTCAGCCAGCGTACAGCCTACATGTGATTACTCAGTTTCATAGCCGTCACATTGCATTCTCTTATCGATAAGTTCGTTTCCACGGGTAACAGATAGGTAATAGGGTCTGCCGCGTCCGCCCCTATCCCCTTGAACAGTTAGTTTTCACGGCGCACAACAATGTTTAACTCTATTTCTACGAATACTTCTCTTCATTTGAAAAACTCTTGACAACATTGGGACAAACGCAAACCTTTGGTTTGACCTCCCAAGTATTCATGGCATGGTAGCGGGTAGTCCCAAGAGTTTTTTATCCAAGAAGTTCCGAAGGGAGTTCGATCATTCTGAAGTTGGAGTGCTCCCGGATACTGGTCGTAACCAATTTTCTAGAACGAACTAACCATTATTTTTCAGTCTCAGGTTTCAGGTATCTCTGCTAAACCATTTTGGATCCTGATGGTAGAGGAGGGAACAGGGTAGGAGAAGGCTCTATGACTTGTTCCCTTCCCCTACTATATCTGAAATTCCTATGTTCTGATTTCCTACCCAGGAATCACCCGTACCTTATGAACGGCCCTAGGACGTCCCGCCCACACCCTTTTCAAAATTACGAGTAGAACACGTAAACAGTACGCTTACTGACTTTAACTAGTCAGCTGAAAACACTAATCAAACGCCACTTTCAGAGATATGGACCTCCCTTGTTTTCCCTCCCTACTGTAGAGCTTTCTTATAGAATGGACCTGGGGCAATTAACTTAAAGGCTGAGTTCTCATTGAAGTTATGGGAAAGTTAACCCAAATCGGACAGAAAGAGTATCTCTTTCAGAACAAGTTAAGCTCACACTTGGTGTGCCCTCAGTTCTTAATGGTACGTCTAAGAATGTTGAAGTACCCGAACAAGGGGTTCGACATTTGGAAATGCTTCTAGCATTGGCTATATTTATTGCTATTTTTCGTTTTTGCTTTTCCGCTCTTTCTTTTCTTAACCAAGTCAGCCTTTACTTCCTTTTGAAACTTTACATTAGTAGAACTGTACCCTTTTTGATTCATCTCAATCTTTGAAACTTGTTTTCCGAGTTTTTCACCTAAATATTCAGCTTGTTTTCCCGATGTTTCCTTACCTTGAATATTTGAAAAGCTGATTGATGGCTCCAGAAAATGCAAGAGAATGTGTATTTTTATATACTTTTCCGATCTAGCACTGACCTTGTTCCGTGGCCTCATCAGATCTTTTTCTCGAATACTCGGATTTCAGTCAAATGGACCGAGCAGATTAAATCGAAGACTTGCCTCACAGGACCAAAGGAGTGTCGGGGAACATACAAATCGTGCGGTGTTTCATATCTTTCCAATTATTAGAACGCAAAGAAAATTCACCATCCTGAACCTAAGTGACAAAGGGCGCTGTGGCTACTTAGTTGTCGCCCATGAGGCATCGCTTGGAACCAGTTCCCAGATCAGATTAACCCACATCACTCGGATCTCTCGTGAGAGGATGGCATAAAGTGTGCTTATTGTTAGAAGCACAATGTTGATTTGTGCGTCATTTGACTCCCATGATTCAGTCATCATGACACGTCACCAGTACTCTATCTTCAGGTCAATTCTTGAGCTAATTTCAGGAGAGGCTGGGTGCATGCAGCGTATTCACCAAATTATTTTGAGACCTTTCGGAATTTGAAAAGCTATTCTCATCCTCTAATGAGAACTACTCGGAACCTGAACTTAGGTCTATTAGGAATTGTTGAAGTCTACCCATTAGTACATGAACTTGCTACAGAATTTCGTCATAGTCGGATGGCAAAAGTGCATCAAGCGACAGCAGATGTGTTCAACAAAATCTCCGGCAGCAAAATAGCGCTAATTAGCATCAAGGCCCACATTTCCACTGATATCTCCCTCCACTGCAAAACCGCTACCGTAATCATATCAGTTATGCATTTTGATAATTCGTCGACGATGACGTCACTGTCATGGGAACGTATTGTTTGGGTTCCAGGGATGCTTTGATTCCCTCAGCGGAAAAAAACACCGATTATACGATGAATATAGGTTGAGAGCTCTGTCAACTGGAATCAATGGAAGGAGATGGAAGGGAAGGCAGGGACTCTAGTCGCTCGCGAGTAGGCAGGGGCTTCAGACGGTAAGGGTAAGGTCAGAAGTGCAGGTGGTGTCATAACGTCATAAAATAGCCATTTTCATGTCCTCCCCCTCCTCCTCCCTCACCAGAATTTCCTTAAAGACTGAATGCAGGGAAAGAGGCGATGGTATAGGAAAGGAGCTGAAGGCTGAGAAGCTCACCACAAAATTTTTTGGAAAATGCGATGCACTTACACACTACTATCTTTTTAGTCACCCTCCTCTGTACTTGAAACACCCAGAAAGATATTTCCGTGGGATTTGATTGCGGAGTTCACTTAAAAGACTGATCAGTTTCAAGCAATTTGTCGATTCGATCAATGCAAAAAAAAACTTTTTTTTCCAGCTAGCTTAGAAGGGCTCTGTTCACCTTAAGGCCAAAAGACGCTAAAAATGTATTGATCCCACGATGTGATCCGTTTTTAGGTTCCTTCGAAGGATACTCGCTGAAAGGGCTCTCACATGTAGGAATCGCTCGATTAGGGCCGATGCAACAAGTAAACTTTAGTATCTGGACTAGTAATTAAGGCATATATGTCTGTCGATTTGTGAGTTTGTTAGAAGGGTGGCTCCAAGAGCTTCAAGAAAGTCATCTGACCGGGACCACCCTAATCGGAAAATTACTTGGAGATTGTTCATAGATTGTTTGTAGTAGAACATCTCATGTGTGGCCGGACACCCTGTGACGTCAGGTAATGGCAAATAAGTCCATGGATAACCTCTGAGCCTCTGCGTACGTACACAATTGCAAGGTAATTACGCGCTCTATCCTACAAATAGAGCCAAAAATCTGGGTAAATGTAATGAATGAGGTCGATCTTTGGTCACCTAGTACTCATAGTGAGCTCACCGATTATGGTCGCCAATATATGCCTTTCCCTAAAAACCTTGACGGGGGAGAGAGGGAGGGTTTCAGTGATTTGTTCATTCCAAAGCACTGGAGATAAGAAAAAGGTTAATTTAGCTGGTAACATCTGCTCCCACGTATTTCTGCCCACTCATTGGTGATATTATAACAGCAGAATGAATGAAATTCATTACCAGACCAGTCCTGTTTAGTGGAGGAATGCCTGCAATCTTCAGCATTTACTGCTCCTCTTCGGAAGGTAGCAATCGAGAAGCACCCAGCCTGAGGGCCTCTAAAAAGGGTAATACATGGGGAATCGGAATAAATCCTGATGTAATTGTGAGCACATTGCTCTTAAGGAATGCGCCATAAATCCACTTCCTATTCAGAATACCCGGTGCATTAGGAAGATACTCAGCTTCACTAGTAACCACGAAAACTGTATGTCATTAAAAACGGAATTTGCACCAACTAATGCGGAAATGGTAAGTTTGAGTGCCGTGTAGAGGAGGGAAAAGAAGAATTGGTCCCTGAGTCCATGCGAAAGTAAGAAGCCTGCTATTTACCATGCCGCCACGTGAGGGAGCACAAGTTAAGTGCTTTGAAATAATAGGTCTCAATGCCTAATGATTCCCATTGAAGATGTCGCCAGCTAATTCAGTCCTGTTACCATTTATTAACAAAGGTCATATGGAATTCATAGTTTTCCATCCGTCCATCAAAAAGCGACGAGAATGACAATTTTCAGCGCTGTCATTGCAATCTGGCAATTAAATGGAAAAAAGCATCTATGTCTGTAATCTTTGCTGCTTTGTTATGCTCTTGGGACCACTTATCAATTGCTTTCTGAGCCCGTTTTCCTGCTACGGAAGATAAGTTTGAATTTTCTGGATCTGTCGACTTATTGGTGCTTTGAAGAGAGAGCCTTCGAAGAGCAAGTAGGCGGGGAGAAAATGTCTGGTATTTTACATTTACAGGAATATATTTGTCGAAATCTTTCCAGAAGGGCCTTACGGTCCTTACCAAATCGAGGGCACGAGAGCGAAGCATAAAAGTCTGCCAGTTGACAGTAGCAGAAAGTTGGCCAAAAGGTCTCAATGCGTTCAAGTCGATTTTCCGCTACAAAGAACGAGAACCAGCCAGTAGATGACTCCGGATAGTGGTACTCCGCACTTCTTACTTCCCGAGTTCGTGCACCTTTGAATAAACCTAATTAGACCGCAGATAATTCTAAAGACAAGGTATCATAGCTACCGTACCCCAGTGGTCGTTCGTAATGATCAAACATTACGCACTTAAGCACGAGCGAGAAGGTAGGTACCTGCCCTGTAGGTGCACCTTTTAGAAATATTTTGAAGTATCTTCTCAGAACTGAGGCTCAAGATTGAGGTGTCACCGGTCTGTTAAAGAAATGGTCGGAATTGGATCGATAATTCAGATCAATACCATTCCTCTGACAGGTTTCAATGAGAAAAAGAAGCAATCACATTTGTTCACTGCCTACTTCCTTCATTTCTGATGACCTTCCAGGTGCTGAGATTCTAGAATTTCCCAGGAAGTTCTAAAGAACTCCACGCACCCTTAGACTTAAATTGCCCTTGTTAGGGGGTACTTGGTATTGAAAATTCAATACTGCCCGATTTTTTTCCATCTGGACCTCCTCAGCTCCTTCCTGCTTCAAAATGGCTATGTATCGATAATTCGTGCTCACGTCGTTGCTGTTAGCTACCGTATCCAACCGATGTTAGGAATGAATTTCTGTTTACAGTATTTGAAAAGACCAAATTTTCAGATGTTCGATCATTGTTGATAGAAAAATACATCTGCTAGTCGAATTTCATAATGGGCTTGTGTCAGTCCGCTGAGGACAAACAGCTTTCGCAAAAAAGCAAAGCAATCGACAGGGAAATGATGCAAGGTCATATTGCACAACAAAAAGTCGTCAAACTTCTTCTTCTAGGTAAGTTTTGCTATAAATTTACCCACATGACAGTGGCCTCCAGAGTAGGTGTGGGCGTTGGGCAAATTCAAGGTTCTCGGTTTGTTTCATGGAAGTCAGAAAATTTAAATTCGGTTTTTTAAATAAAAACTCATGGTGCAATGGCAAAGGAAGGATTTGTAATCACCCAGGTCGAGAATCTTATCCTTTCTGCCCCACTTAATCCAAGATGTGTTCAGAGGAGAAAAATCACCGAAAGGAACACTGCCTCAGAGCGTGTCCGCTGGAGAGGGTAACAACCATCTGTATGTTCATGAGTCCCGACAGAATGTCGGAATCGTGAATCATCCCAACAAATCGATTCCTATCAATTTTATTACTCTCAAAGACCCTTCCAAGCTGGGTATTACCGTAACACGCCGGCTAAAGGTGTAGATCATACCTACCCTGATTTTATGGTTTTCATGATTTTCCTTCGATCTTTGAATCTTACTTCAGCAGCAGCGCTTTGATGACTTTTGTAGATTAGCACTGCTTCGTACTACTATTTCTGAGCCTCGCTCAACTCGATTAAATCAGCGACTCGACTACAGATTTGTATGTTCGGTGGTCTTTGGCGTTTTTCGTCCTCATTAGTGGATTTTTGTGAGCACGTTGAGTCTCCTGACGGAATCTGTGATCAACTCCTTCAAATACAGCTCAGAAATAAAGCAAAAGAGTTTGCAACAGTGTCAACTGATGGCAACTTCCTAACTGCTCCTAATTATCCAAATTTGAATTGAGAACTCTTTGCTTGATTTCATCCTTATCAACCGACCACTATTAGTCATCCAGATCAAGAAATTCTCATGCCCATGGATTCGATGTACTAGATTGTAGTAACTTTCAAATTCCCAATGGCTCACAGCTCACAACACGCAAAGTGTTGGATCACTCACTCGATCATCAATACCCCTCGTAACCGATGGCTCGGGGATCGATCCTTGAGCCATATTCATGTCCACTTCCCGCTGTACCACCTCCTATGTCTGATCAAGCTGAGCCCTAAAATAGTTCGCATTGGCTTTTCACCTTTAGCATTAGGATCTCCTGCGAAGATCCCCGAAACCACCTACTCTATGGGGGGAACTGGAGAAATTTTTTTGGAGAAATGATGACGAAAACCTCTTAAGATCCTCTTAAGTATTTTTACTTTCAGGTGCTGGTGAATGTGGGAAAAGTACCGTTCTGAAACAGATGAGGTAGGCCTCCTTAAGCAGTCAAACCTTAATAGCAAATAATTTCTTCTTGGATAGACTTCATTAGATGACTTCAGGATCCTCCATGATCATGGATTTTCCCCCGAAGAAGCCATTCAGCAAAAAGGTGTTGTCTATAACAATACCGTACAGGCGATGGCAATGATTTTACGAGCTATGAACAGCTTGAAAATTTCATTTGAAGATCCAGCTAGAGAGGTCAGAGCTTTATCGTTTTCGAATCGATCTTGAAAATATTTTTGGCTAAAAAAATCTATGAAATAGTTTTTGATGTTTTCTTGAACTTCCATGCAGTAAGTACTTATGACTTAAAAGTAATTTTATTAAGAATGATTCCCGTGTGGTACTGGATACGATCAAGGCCGCTCAGGAATCTGAGCCATTCACGCCAGAGCTTACCCAAGCTCTGAAAAACCTATGGGCTGACCCTGGTGTGCAAGCAGCGGTCAGTCGAGGGAACGAGTTCCAGCTGGTCGAAAGTGCTCCACAGTCAGTTAAAAGCTTCGGAACTTTCTTGGTCGTTACACAAATTTTCCCGTTTCAGCTTCCTCGGATCTGTCGAGCGTATTGCATCCAAAGACTATAAACCCACAGAGCAGGATATATTACTTTCACGGATAAAAACCACTGGCATTGTAGAAGTTAAATTCCAAATGAAAAATGTAGATTTCCGGTAAGTTTACTAGTTTTCAAATGTTTTTCTGACTTGACTGTTGCCGGTTCCTTGACAACAGTTTAACGCTGCTAACAACTCAACTACATACTAGTTAGACTGAATGGCACAATGTGGGTGTTTTGCCCACCCGTGGGAGTGAATACAGCTGAAAATCACGATAATTGGAATAGGCAGGGGCATGTGTGGGGGAGGAATAGACCGTAATAATGGACTTCTACTTGAATAAATTTATTCATTTTTATTTAACTTTCAGTAGAATCTTAGCAGAAGACTTGGTGAGAGAATCTAGGAATGGGTAGCAAAAAGTTCAAGAAGGGGATCCGAACTCGTCCTGACCACGCTTTTCTTTACCGTCTTTTCTTACTATTGGAAAAATGCTATTGTTAAAAAAATTGCAAAATCTGGTAATAAAAGGCTCCATTTTCATTGACCTACCGAGTTTTCGCCAGAGGTCTTCGGAATCCAATTTCCGCAAAGCATTGTGCACTAGTTGTTAGGGTATAACGTTAACTGCCTTTACTACAAACGTGCTTCACTTTTAATGTCAGTCTCTAGATGCTTATGAACACATAATGCTTCGGTAATATTGAAGGGCGGGTTTCGATTTTCAGGCCCGTATAGGTCCTATCTGGGCTATAGCCCTGTCCGGCAAGGTCCATTGTCAAAGTTTAAGGGCACATTTTTACCAGTGTCAAATCTGATGACCACGTTTCATTTGAAGCTTTGTAGGGACAACGCACCTATACGTCCATGGATTAGTTATATAACCATAAAACCTAATCAATGTGTAAGGCAAGTACTCCATCCTTTAAAGCAAGTGGGATCCTGCTAATCAATTTAACCCAGGAAAGTCCTGTTTTAGTTTTCTAGCAGATTATTTTCGATAGTGTAAATACACGTTGTAGAAATGACGCAGATTTTTGATTCGTTCACCATAAAGCAAAAAAAAAACATAGTTGCTCACTGATTCTTATCTTTACTTCTTTCTGAGGTTCTTGCTAGCCCTAATTACTGATAAAGTGTCCGTGACTTGAGATCTAAAATTAAACTTCAAGATCGGAATTCCATGTATCATTGCTGTCTTCGGAATGTATTTCCGGCTGGATCACGGAAAAACAATTCGTTATGTCCGAAACGCCTCATAATTATAGCGTCTGAGGAACGCTAATACTGGCTTTCCGCAAGTCACACGCTCCCATGGCATGGGACCTAGGAAGCCGTAATACTCAGGAGTACCACATTCACCAGCAAAATGAAAAGTACTATGGCACTAGTAAAAATCGCAAGTTCGGGATTAGTTCAGGTCTGTTTAGCAGGTTTGTCAAAGGAGCATGAAGGAACTCCCTAGTGGACAGCGGCTCAGTACATGAACGCATTTTGGATAACTTCCTGTCCGGGGTTAAGAAGGTGAAATAAAAGGGATGGGAGTTGTAGCTAAAAGTGACGCATCTACTTAAGACAGGCCATGCCGATGACTCCCATTCAAAGTTGCTACAGCATTTGTTGCTCATTCGACCCAGGCCTTCACTTACTTCCAGAGCTCCATCCGTCTTATGGGGTCATCTTTTTTCTGTTTTGCCTATAACTACGTTTCCAACTTGGGGAACCTATAAGTGTTAACTGAGAGTTCATTCAAGCTTTTATCCTTGAAGTGGCACTATTCAACCTCTGTACTCCCATTGAGAGCTGACTTGAATTGTAGTCCGTTACTTTGGTTCGACCGTTCAGAAAAAGTCTGAACACAATGCGTTCGTCGAGGACAAACGTCCTATCCCCGTCCAGACTCGAAGCTGCTCAAGCTGTTCACAGCTCAGTGGATATGTCTTGTAACGCTGTGAAGTCGCCGTTTCCATGCCACTGTTGTTTTGAAAGCCATAATGACGTTGTTGTCAGGTGACTTACTTGGAAACAGGACGTAAATCTCTACAAATGTGTTTGGCAAAGCACGTTTTTTGCAATAAATAATGTTTTCTAATGAATGAGCAATTACTTTTTGTCATGAGCTCTCCAAACTCTAGTAATGGTGTGGCAATGAACCACCACAGGTTCTAAGGGGGACGGAAACGTAGGTGTGAAGAAAGGACGAAAGAATCGAGGTCTATCCAGCCTCGCGGTTGTCTGAGACCATAATTGTCAGTCAGGATCAAAATTTCTTTGTTGGAGCATGAGAGAATGCAGCTCGAAGGCACTTTTTGGCTTCAGACAACCCTTGTGATACCTATCTAACTCCAGTGAAATGGCCTATGAGTCGCTCGGGATGTTACAAACCCTGAAAGTCATCTTACTGAGGATATGCATGAAAACACCGAAGGATACGTAGTGCGTACAAAGGGGAACTGCAGATCAGCTGTACGTAATGCCACATGTTCTGTGATGTCCTCATCCCCTTGAATGGCAGTAAGTGGTGCGGATTACGGAGTACATAGTTTCAGCGTTGGGTGATAATCCGTCAAAGAAAATAACTTTGAGTACTCTAAGCAATGATAAGCATTGTACGATTACGCCCCAGTTTCTCTTCCACTTAACTAGCCCTTTGGTTTTCCTCAGAAGAAAAAGGCACAAATTCATAACAACCCTTCGAGACGCATGAAAAGGAGAGAGCCAAGAAAGTCTACGTTGTTTTTTGTTGCTTTCATATCATTTAAGGCTAAATTACAGAGTTTTCGACGTGGGCGGACAACGTTCGGAACGAAAAAAGTGGATTCACTGCTTCGAAGATGTCAATGCTATTATATTTATCGCCGCTATATCCGAATACGATCAAGTGCTTTTCGAAGATGAGACCACGGTTCGGTTTTTTCGTATTTCAGCTGTATTTGATCCCATAGAGATTCAACAAGGAGACCGTAATCTTCCCTCGCAGAACATCGGAATGATACTGTAAAGGAGCTACGGCCACTATGCAAATAACATTTTAACTAAAACTCGTACTCGAACCTATCCGAAGCCACCTTTGTCCATTTCAATAGAAAGACCTTATTGTGAAGAGGTTTTTGTGGATAATCAGCCTTTGCACCTTTTACAGAATCGAATGGTGGAATCGATGCGGTTATTTGAATCGATCTGCAACAGCCGATGGTTTATTAATACCTCAATGATTCTTTTTCTCAATAAAAAGGATCTGTTTGCTGAGAAGATCAAGCGAACCAATATTACTACTGCTTTTCCCGACTACAAAGGTAATTTAGACTACCTCCTGTAGTAATTTAGACTTTACATACAAAGTTCCATAAACCTTTTGAAGCAATCATCCCCCCATGTGCCCAATTAAATACTAGGATCCTCTTGTAGAAGATAAACTTGTAAAAGTCCGTTTTTCTCATTTGACACCTTCTACAGCGGAGTCAATCTTTGGCCAATTTTTCTTTGGAAACCGCTCCATTTTCTAACACTTCCCGAAAAATTTGATATGAAACCTTCCTAAAACGAAATTTTTCTTCTGTGAAGTTTTTTTCTCAAAATTTCCAATCCCATAGCTTTCTTTATTGGCTACCATTTTTGTGACTTTGACACCTGCCCCTAGGTTCTTACGTTGTTTCCCAACGATGTCTAGACAGGAGCTGTCTGGATGAATGCCCTTGTCACATCGTTGTTTCTTAATCTGTCCAGTCTGGCCCACTCGTAGGCCCTGCTTAACACCCTTTCCTAGGTCGATTGCTTCTGGCTGTTACGTAGTGATAACGGTACATTTCTATGAATAAGGGCAGTAGTGTGGATGGAGATAACTCAGAAATTAGTGATTTCCTGTGATAATCTGTTTAAAGTACCTGTTCCAAGGAGAAAATTACCATGCAAATTAGTTTTTCGATGAATCAAAAAAAAGTTGCCAATGTAATTTTTCTTCTAAATAATATTCAAATACATTAAGTAATTGTAGTCTTTCATAAAAAGGCCATTGTGATTAGTGAAAGGTCATTCGGCGAAATATAGGCCCTATTGTTACCACGGAAAGAATGCCTCTGTGCTTAATGATTGTTTTACTTTAATAGAAAGAGCAAGGTATAAGCCTAGTCTTAGAAAGACATTTGAAAGGTCTCGCTCGAATAAAATTTGATCTTCTAGGGATTTTTCCAGTTTTAAAACATCTTCCTTCTCTAGCCTAATAACAGTATATTGCGATGGGTCAGGAAGCGTCATCGGCGAAGCCTGGAACTAGGTCATCCCATGGGAAGGCTATGTCTTTTACTCGCGAAGTCATGCTTTTAGTTGCTATGATTTCGTAAAATTTCTTAGGGTAACAATATTTTCTTCTACAAAAGTCAGCCTGTAGTACCTAAAAAGATTAACCTGAAGAAAGAATGAAGTAGACGGAGTATAAATGTACAAAGAGAGAAATGAAGCTGTAAAGGCGAAAGAATGAAGAAAGAGGAACTTTCATTTCTAAACGGGAAATCACCCATCCAAAAGAGGTGAGAAGCAAAACTTAAAGGGTACGACGGTTCATTCGAGTAGAACGAGTTAGTTCACTTAGGGTTGGTCAAGCCTTTCTCGGCTGTTTTCGAATCCCTGCTACTTCTTGCTTTTAATCTTACCCAGTTCAGTCTATATCGGCTACTGAAAATATTAATTTTTAAAGGAATTTCCGGGCAGTATCTTACCAGTTTTCTTTGATTCTTCATTTCTATTTGATGAATCTCATTCCTTACCTTTAACAAGATTCTTATCCATACAAAAGCCCATTACGGCAATCGATTTTCCCTTCTTCCTGTTTTTCTTAACTGTTTTACCATTCGTCAATGTTTACCAACTTTGACATCTAAATAACTTCAGTCTACATCCAACAATTCCAATACTCCACAGAAACGCAAGACTCTAGACAGTGATTTCGTAAATAATAATACAGAAGCCTTCTGAATCTATGGCTAATTACAGGTGCTCAGACATACGACGAAGCGACGGCATTTATCGAAGAGAAATTCGAGGGATTGAATGCAAATCCAGAAAAAACTATATACATGCATCAGACATGTGCCACAGATACTAATCAAGTACAAATGATCCTTGACTCCGTTATCGATATGATTATTCAAGCTAACTTGCAAGGTTGTGGACTGTACTGATAGAAATTCTCATTATCGATGCCTCTGATACTAGGCTTATTCAGAACATTCTGAAAAATGAGCAGTTTTCGGGAGGCAAGAATTCTCCGAAATAGGCTGACTAGGTTGTTAGTTGCATTCTTTATGGCCAATTCGATCGGATCATCTTTTTTTGAAGGCCTAGCTACCAACCGCTACTCTTCACCGGTACCCCTATTTCACGCCGCGAACTCATTTTTCACTAAAAATCCCGATAGAGTTTGAATGCCCATTTGGCTCACAAAACCGACGACATAATACTTCTACCTGTACTGGGGTTCGATGAGCCCCTAGGAAGGGCTGAAACCGTTGAATCAACCTCAAATTAAAGGTCTAGGCAAATTTCTAAGATGAGAATTTGAATTTCTGCCCGTTTTTGTTGTAGAGCAACTATCGGAAATGGCAAATTGGGCCACTGACATGGAATCCCGTTACCTATCGCCCAATGATTGCCTCTGTTCATAACTTCCGAGAAATAATTCCTGGGGTTTCGCCGAATGGATTGCCGTCGAGATTCCCCTGCATCTCCTTGGAATCACGACTGATCCATCTAAAACGAAAGCCTTACCATGACCCAGCATTCGAATGTTGTTCTACAGTGGTCCCAAAGGCTTGAGCGTCTTCAACATACTCTTAGAAGTCGAACAGGGGCCAGACAGAGAGGCCAAGGGAACGAAGTCCATCCAGGGTGCAGGGACTGCCCATTTAAGGAAGATGATCTGGTTGAAGCGGGGTCAAGTTGGGGAATCGATGGAACTTTCATTTGAATAGTTATATGGAAAGAAAAAGGACTGATTAATTTCTATATAAGAATGTTTTCGTGAAGGTAGAAGTCCGATGCGAATTACTATCAGTTATCAGTCAGTGCTAAAGGGTTTTTTGTTAATGTTCGAGACGAATTATCTACAAATTTGACCCCATCGCAATGTATCGATCATACACGTACTGTTTTCGTTCAACTGTATGCAAACGAATTTTCTCCAAAGGTTTTTCTCATAAATTTTTGAATTTTTTTTCGTGATTATTTCTTGAAATACTTCTGACACGGAGTCCTATTGTTACTTGTTGCCTTTATTTTTTTTGTTCTTGATTGTTGTACCCAATCAAGTACTGATATTGAATACCGTTGACAGATGTTCCTCTATTATCTGTTCATACTTTTTTTATTCTTCCTGGATAGATTCAATCTCGAAACGTTCTATTTTGTACAGTGAAATCCACATGCTCTTCATTACAATTCCATATTTATCTTTCCGTTTTCCTTCGATTACTGTAATAATTTGATGATTTTGATAATTATTTCATAAATTTCTGAGACATTCCATTCATGTGAAAGGTTTTTTGGTTGTGATCAGCTAATTACCTGCGTCACTTCCCAGTATTTTTACAGAAATTACCCCGCAGTAAAAAAAAAGAGCTCATGGGACTGTCTGAGTGTTGACGTAACCAAGTTGATGCATTAGGTCGATGAATACCTTTTCCAGCTTGAAAAATCTTACAAATTAGGGTTGCTTCTGGAAATACTCCGAAAAATTCCAAAAGAGCGCGGAACCACCTTGAAGCTATGTAAATAGATTGTCTAAGTATTACTCCGGGTTTTGGTGATCATTTTATTGGTAGCCTGATTTTTTTAAGAGTTTGGATAATCTTATCAGGTACTCAGCGAATTTGATAAGGGGGATAAGTCCAGATCTGGTGAAGGGGAGAGGAACCACCCTTCCCTATACGCATCTTATGAACAATCTTCTGTATGATGATGTGGGATGTTTTTGAATTCAATTCGATTCAATATTTTTTTGGGATCCCCAGCTTTTTTGAGCCCCCTTTCTTCCCTTTCAGCATTTTGAACCAAGTTTGCTTTACTAAACTAGAGGATTTCTGAGGAACGTAATGTAGAAAAGTCCAGGACAGGTCTGGAAGCTTACAAGCCCACGGAGCCGTCCAAATCTACACTTACTACGCCCTATCTTACATTTAGTAGTCATATCAAGCAGTTGGGTGAGGTACGAAAGGAATTCGGGCCTTTTCCGGGCCTCAGCTTCTGTCAGAGGGTCATTCTAAGTGCTATAATGTTACATCCTTCGGTACAGCCACTTGGCTCATCTTTTGGACTTCACCTAAGCAGAAGGAGGAGTCGGAAGAACACCCTTCCGTTCACAGGTGTGACAGACTTGGTAGCAGTAGACGACACGTACTTCACCTTTCTTATCTTTTTGAGAGCTCAATGTGGCCCTATCACCATTTACGTAAAACAAGGAAAAAAAAAGGAAGAAGGAGTAAACAATCGAGCTCTCTGATGCCTAATAATATGTCCTACAATCATTACACAACTTCTATTTTTAGACTGATAATGGGATGAGAAAAAACAAAAATGCCTTTTTTAAAGGCTCAGTCATTCAGATTAATTAGGGCTGATGTCTTGCTTTCTGAACTTTTACAGTTTCCCATTGAAATGAGACGGCGGCGGAATTATTCATGGGGTAGTCAGCTGTAAAATGGGATATGGTCGATGCTTAGTATCTGACAAGATTGTATGCTACTTGAGGAGCTCAGGACTCCTTTGACATGCTGCTTACATCCTTAACCTCTTTTCTGACCTTGACCACATCTGGAAATAAAGAAAAGGTTTGCATAGGGCGGCATCTTCCCATTTAGATACTGGGAAGAAAAAAGCTTGATGTTTTTTGGGTGTCATCTCACGGTACGTTTAACTGAATTCTTCGGATCGTTGAGAAAATTCCAGACTGCCGCTATCTTGACGATTATGATTCGCAGCAGTAGCTCAGGGTGGAGGGAGAGCCACAATGAAATATTCGTATCCGTCGTAGCACATTGCAGTGGCCTACGTTAAGATCTGATAGGGACGTTGAGGAGCAGGTGGCCTGGCAAGCCTGAACTCTAACCTTTCTTCGAAAACGAAGCCTTCCTTGACTCTTTACCCTCAGACTGCGCCGCTTTCGAGATGTGCCCTCCCACTCGGCTTCCATTCAGAGTCGCAGTATCGGGTTGAATGCGTATCTGGCATATACAATGACTTGCGGTGTCCAGAGGGTGTGCAAGTCGGTGCTTCCAACTTCTCAGACGAATTCGGTATCAGAATTCAACCACGAAGAGGAGGAAGGCTTGCCTGGTGTAGGAAGCCAATGATTCCGGCCTGAGATTCTATTTCGGACCATATGTATCACTTGTTACTACACCATTCCACCTTCACCTTATTCAAGCCTGCTTTCTGATTTTTTAAAGCACCTCTGTGCCAACTTGGACTCATACATGAACTAAACGTCAAGCTAGACAGGGTTTTTGAACTCCGTCTTATAATGCTGAAGGATGGAAATAGCACTGGCTATAAATAGTGGTAACAGAATTGAACCTATTGAAACCCAAAGTGCGAGAAGAGTGGAAAAGGGGACAAAGACTCTGATTAAACCTATCACATGGTTCTTACATTCGATGGAACATACTGGAAAATCGCCATCGAGAGTTGAATGACGTTAACACCTTTTGTCTTCTACATGTTCAGCAGGCTATGAAAGACTCAAATTGATTCTTAGAGTTACTGCACAGCTGTTAATACTTCGTATTACGTCACAGCGATATTGTGTGTTAAGCCTGGGGTGGTTTAATGGCTATCCATCAGCGTATGGCGGTGTTACCATGACGACGTCGAAAATATGTTCAACAGACTTATAAAACCTGTAATGAAGGGGATTCATAAGGCCACAACGAAGTCTGGAAAAAAGGATTTGTTAATTGGAGTACGTGGAAGCGCGGATTTCTCCCCCTGACCATGATTGATCGCATCTGTGCCTACGCATGCGATTTTTTCTAAGGCTATTTTGCCATTAATATACACTGGCCATACCGAGCACTAAGGGACCAGCTGTGTCTGAGAAAGTGCCACTTCATCTCACACGGATGTGATATTGTTTGGTCGGTTCTGAGTGGCTGGAAGGCGTAGTTTTCTTGATCCTTGGACCATACGTGCCTCATGGTGCCGTGATATTACTCGACATCGAGCCCTAACATTCTCTTCGAGGAACAGGCTGGAGTGAAGCGGAGGCAAGTAGTGTCACTGGCAGCATCAAGTTCCGGATTGGAAGCTCTTGAGTTAATCGAGCTTCTTTTTTCTAAGGTGGCTTCAGGGCTACTATGTTCACTGGCAGGGCAAAAACAGATTTCTATATTGCCTTTACTTATTAATAGGAGAAAGTAGACATTTACATACCGATGCCCTTTTGAATGGAAATGGAGAGGCCAAAAAAGAACCACATAATGTCAAGTACATCAGGCTTTGATTCGGTTGATATCTAAAATTCTATGCAGTGCTTAAGTGAGGTAAGCAGAATATGGATGTGTAGAAGAATTGAATTTGTTGGGAACTGAGGAAATCATGTTGTAAGAAGGTCTTTATCAAAGAGATAGGTGAAAGAGGACCAACATGAACTGCCCATGGACTACTACTATTACTTATTTCTAACACAATGAAGAACTTGTGGCTTATCAGTCGAGCGTTTTCGACACAACGTCAATGTCTGACTGCCATCATCGGACGGCGTCACCTCATCCTCAGAGTTGTCGAATCTTTTTCCAACACGCACCGTTAACTTCTCTTCCTCGCAAGATTGTAATGTTCTTTGAATAATCGCTAAGTCGAAAAAGCAGTGGCTTCGATGAGAACATTTGAATGACGGCGGTCATTCTCACTTTTGGTTACCTCCACTCACTTGAGATCGATTCAGAACTATAGGCATGCTTTGAATGGGCTTGTGGCCTATACAATGGATAACGAGGGCCAGTCGGAGTATAACCAAGCGCATTCAACTTCCCAGACGAGTCTGGTACGTATCGAATGGTCGGGAGGGATGGGAGGGCTAGTTATTGGGCTGAAAGGAACTATATCGCCACGGCCACCGATCAGCTTAGCAGTTGTAAACTGCTTTTTTCAATAGGATCAAGATGGCGATTCAGGGATTCAAGAGAAAACGATGATTTGATCGACTCCAATGAAATATAATTTCAATCCATTCATTGCCTTGCACTTCATGTATCCGATGTCTTATCAATATACCAGTGTCGAAGTACTGCCATTACAGTACAGTAGAGATCACAATTTGAATCATCCTCCTCACTTCATATTACTCGCTTCACTCCGCAGTGCTCACTTTACTCCATTAGCCTACCCACGAAGTGACTGCTTTTTATATGAGAAGAATAAGTTTTCCATATCACTACATTTATCATAATCACAAAGTAACCCGGACGGACAGACCGACAAACCGACAAACCAAGTTACTGCTTTATATATAAGAAGGATAAGTGGGTTTATCAATGTAAGTGAGAGCTTCGGTGCATTTTCAATCGGATTTAACTCTAACCAAGATACTCCTGAATAAATGTTCTACTGCTTCATTGGCTAGAAGCTGTGATTCTCATGACATAGGCGCAAGAGCGGATTCCCTGAAAACCATTTCACGTGTTCGCTGCCCTTTTGAGTGGGATTCAACGTTTGCTTACTGGAAGGAAATGCTGTATTTTGAAGGTAAATAACTCAAATCCCTAACGATGATCTAGTCATCTCAATTCTAGAAACGGGAGATATCTCCCAATTCAACTGCTTATGTATATCTCATAACAGGGGTATAGATTTCACGCGCGCAAAATCAATATCAGTCTCAAAGATTCATGGTAAAGCGGGAGATGACCTATGAAAAACTTAAGAAACCATGTGGGCGAATATTTACTTCAACTGTTTATTTCTCGTATGCGATAAGACTGAGTCGACAACATTGAAGTGTAATATCCCAGCTTGGTTCCCATTTGTTTATTCTGCGCTCTTTCCCACAACAGCAAGGTCATTGCCGATTTCTTTCAACGTTTTTCTGTATGCAGCGAATTCCCCAGTCGATCTGGAACAGCACTGGAAGAATTCTCTAACGATAATACGGTCAGTGGATCTTTCAGGCCTGGGAGAAAATTTTCAGGATAACGAACCCTCCAATCTTGCTCTCCAATTTATGGAGTGCCTTGATCGCCTTCTGAAGACTGTCCTGAGTCCTGTGGATGTAAAACTGAAAGCATTGAAATCAATGAAATCCTTAGTTATGTGTTCCACCTCACCTTTAGCTCACCGACACCGTAGCACTCCATAAGAAGACCGTCTACAGGGAGCACGAACCGATGAATGGTATGGCTGCAACAGCCCAGTGAGCAATCACTTGCTTGGACTTGATAGCTGATAGTGATACAAAGATGGGGAATAATGATATATGGCCTTAGTCAATCCTGAGATACACCCCTGATCCCATGCAGAATCGTACTGGCAGGCTTTTGGATGCGTATGCGCCATGAACCATGACTTGCTGTGGCCAGGCGATTTGCAAGTCCATAAAACTGGCCTCGGATTAGTGGGAGGCTCGGGTAAAAGGGCGAGTATAGCCGGGATTCGATTCCCTAACCTTGGAAGTGGGCCACCTAGTATGGTTTCATCGACGTCCATTTTGACATCGGCCTCGAAAGCGATTGTAGGGAATGGGCATGCTGTCGGTTATTCAGTATTCATAAATCCTCTTGAAAATGGGGCGTTCACGGCTCCTCTATGAATTGAAGCAGCATTTGCCGAACATCTCATCTAACTCGGAACTTTCCATTGTTTTCGAAGAAGGCCGAACTAGGAGCAAAAGACCCCAAAGTCAAACTGCGACTCTCCAGGATCCGACCCTCTTATCGTCCCTTTAGGGACACTCGACTTCAGCCGACTAATATCTTATATTGAAGGCTTCAAAAGGGTCAGAAATTTTTGAAATAGATAACAACAATATGTCCTTTATTCGATCCCAACTGGGAATGGCTGAGGGTTCAAATTTCAGAACAAACCGCATTCAGGTTTTTACTTCCGCAGTCGTTTAATCTTATGAGGGTTTTTCGAGGAGATAAAAGCATTCAACTATCGACCAGCCCCTTATGGGGTGGGCGATTGCTCTCCGGCATAAATTTACCAGTTGCGTGGTCTGGAAAGGATTTGAAAGAGTAAAACACTTTTTGTTGGAAATATTTTTTTATTAATAGAGCTCCATAATAATACGGCTTGGCAAACCGGAATAATCTGCCACTCACCAATAGCAATCCAGTAGTTACGGTCGATTATGTACTTCCAGAATAACTGCGTGAATGGGAGTATTGACTTGCACATGGTTTAAGTTGTAGAGGCTTGTAGAAGCCGGATGCGAGTTGAAAAATACTGTTGTGGTACCGGGGAATATTTGAGTACCGGGCGCATCCCAGAGTAGAATTGATCGGTCCCGAATTGCACTTTATCTTTGATCCTACTGACGCAATCATGGAAATCACAACTGACTGGATTAAGGTCAATATATGGGCAGTGGATTTCCGAGTTTTGTTATTAAAAATGCATATTTATGATAATGATATAAAATTCATATCGGAATTATTGATTAAATGTAAAAATTTCGAAAAATGAAATAAAATTGATTTAAGTAATAAAGACAAAAATATATTTGAAAAAAGTTGGACTAAATGGCCATGGCAAAATAAAACGTAAATAAAATGTTCCATAAATAATCATCCGTCAATCATCACCTCACACGTCATCGTTTTCCTCGAAGTGGTGCTTGGAAAATCACTTGCTCAAATAAAACAAAATTTGGCGAAAAATATATGAAATTTATAAAATTTTCTGGAATAAGATGCAAAATTCGCTCAAAAAAACTGTGTTTTCTACGGATCATTTCTGTCAGCATTCCAAGCATTTGTGAGTTACCAAAATTGTCATTTTGTGATTTTTAGCTTCTTTTTCGCTTTATTAAATTAGACCAGTTCATCGAAGGCCAACAGAGCATAGCTCTATTTTGCTTACGCCATTAGTCATTGCTTGTGACAGATCTGATTATTTATTCATACGAACCGCTTTCCTTTCCATCACCATCCTTTTCTAGCGGAAAATATGCCTATCTCCAGCCTATCAATTTTGAATTCCATTTAATACGTCATAGCTTCTTTTGTTTCGAAAAAAAATTGAATATCTAAGGGATTAGAGGTCATAGTACACTATGATGGGTAGATAAACACGTAAACAACAGCACAGTAAATGTCAGCAAGTACTTAAACTATGAAGGGTCGTTAAGAAGGAGATCCTAATGACCAACCCTTTCTAGATACGCTATGTACCTGACTTCCAGTGGAACTTCAGTAAGGTTAATGAGGGACAGCTTTGCCAGTTAAGCCCTTTTTCACTTTTCTAGAATGACGAGGAACCTGTTTCGCTGTCCGTAAAGAGCAAGCAGGTGGCCCATTGGATGCCGTAAGTGACAACAGACAGCCACGCCTCGAAACGTTCCCCGTTCTCTTTGCTTGGAATGTTCATCCTTGCAATGCCAATCTTTCGTTCTGAGTATAGCTTCTTCTTTGATAATATGAGAAAGAGAATCTCGTCCACCTAACTGTATCTCCCCTCTGTTCCATAGATGTGTACTTGTTGACATTTAACGTAATAGAATGCCATAACAGTTATTGCCATAGTGAATTCAATTTTGAAGTCAGTGCATAATCGAGAAAGCAATGGGCTCCAATGTGACAAAAACACGATTTTTTATAAGCCTTGACTTGACTGAACTGGGCGAAAATCAGTTTGCTCGGGGTTTTTTCTCCCTAACGCTACTGATACTTCAAGTAACAGCCATCAGAATATGGCTTATGCTAAATAGGTTCTGCAGGTTAACTCAGAGCTGCTGTGGAACCTACTTTGGAGGAAATCTGAAAAGAGAAGGAAAGCGCTGTTGGATTTTCTGCTAGAAAGCTCAACCATACTCCTCTGTGTTCCGTTAGTCCTTACCTAAAAGGATTTCAGTCATGCACCGCTAAGTAGTCAAAAGATATGGACAGCAAAAACAAATAATAATTCCTGATAATTTTGATGAAATTTTTGAAGAGCCGTTGTATCTGGCACACTTGATTCTCTGCTATCAGATTTGATAATGTAGTATGCACGTGTTAAAATGCGCTCTGGGCCAGGTATTTTTTGCCACGCCCTCTCTGAAATGAGCTTTAACCCCTCTGAACTCCCTCCGATGAGTTTGATTTCTATGTTGGATAGAAAAAACAGGAAGCTGAGAAAACTCTGGTTGTAAAAGAAGCAATGAAAAATAGTGGTTTCCAAAGGTGAAACGATATAATTGTCCCATAAAATCCTGTTCTCTCTATTTTTTTTGAAACTATTTCTGAAATGTGTCTTCGTTTGAGATTTGCTTGGAATAGCCTGATTCAGTAGGACACTTGCTCGCTCTCTTCGTCAAGTCGAGCTCCAAATTCTAATCTATCCGCTAACAAAAACCCAATCCTGAATCGCATAGAGTAAGCAATTTATCAGGAAAGAAATGTCGACGTCATTTGAAAAGCACCCCGCATCCCATTTCATCGAGAGCATAGCGGCTACATTGACGTATGAAAGCAGCAATATCGCCGAAACACATGCCAATATAGGTGATGCCTGGGGAAACATATTAGTCCTTTTTTCGACGGAGAATGAGGAGAAAAAGGCGCTTATAGCCACTTTGGCTTCCCATGAGCGGCTTCGAACATCGTTTTCTGCCACTGTCCTCATATTCCCGACGAAATGCCCTCTACTTCTCGGGGGATACCGTTTTGTTTCAGCTTCCGGCACCTTTAGCTAGTACATTTACGTGGCTATTTATATTAACTATATTTAGAATGAATTAAACTATTCTAACTACTTCATAGTTGATTATAGGAGGAAATTTTTTACCAAACTTTGTACAGAGGGCTCAGCGCAAAAATTCGAGGTTGTGTGTCATTAGGTCCAGTTTTCTTTCTGCTCTGATGAAGGCCTGAAGTTTCCTGATAAATGGCACTTTTGCCGAAGAAGAGTAGGTCCATCAGGAGCTTAGGTTGTTGGGTGACGAGGAGGTAAGAACGACCTACATAGGGTAAGAACGACCTACATAGCGTCGAAGAAAGATATAAGTTCTGTGAATAACGAACTTAACGCCCTGCTTTTGTCCGGGATCATATTCAGATGAAATAGTGATTAGGAGCTCTGAGATCTGTCTCGCTTGAAGCATCCTTCATTATTTTCTCGGGATGTTCTGCCTATATTTAGGTCAAAAACTGATTGTGTTGAATGAGATCACACTCCGGGTTTGATCCATAGGGTGAGCCGTGCGTAGGTTTACGGCAAAGGCGCCTCTAACCGAACTTTCTGATCTGTGTCCAATAGTACTGATAACTTATGGCGGCTGTACCAATTCAATTGGTTCGATTTCATGTCTGAATCGAAAAAAGGCCCTGCTTGTTTTTTTTTTCAAAATACGTTTTTTTCCACTTTTTTCTACGAACTCTGTGCAAGCCGTCGGCACTCTAATGGATTGTCACACTACGTTGTCCTTTTTACGTGTGCATTAAAAATTGTGCCTCGATGA